TAAATCCGATGCCTCGTGTAAAGAGAGTGCCACGCTCTTTGAACGTTAAGAACCCTTGCAACAACTCTTTGAGGGGTCCGTAGGTGACCTGTTGCAAGGCTAAATTTCTGTCCCTATCCAATATACCCTCATTTCCCGTGGCAGTCTAAATTCCTCCGACCTTAATCCCTTAATCTATTACAGAACCTACCTATTGTATTTATTGTGAACTTGTTCTCGTCCTGAATATGCATGAAATATTTGCCACTAAACGTTAAGCAACCAACAATCAATCAATCAATCAATTGCTTTAATGAAGGCTTTCCCGTCGTCACTGCCAAATTCCATCAAAGGAGATATTCGAAGATCTACATCTACACCGACTGCCGTATCTAACGCTGCCGAAATATAGTCGAAAAATCGTTGGTATGACCTTGATGTAAAAATATTTGGCCTTAAAATAATGGATGTTTTTTTTTTTTCCTTCTTTATAAGTCGGTGGTTCTTATAAACTAACGTTGTAACGAAGAAACGTTCTAAATTAAAGATGCAGTCAAGTCCTAGTCTTCCCATTTTTTGATGTTATGAAATGCTTGAGGTCCAGCAGATGTTCGCTGGTGTAACAAACGATGGATTTAACTTGATGTTTAGGGTGAGCGACATCTTGTATAAATGAGTTAGTGTATTTCATGGCGATAACTTCGATTATTTCGTCGGCAATGTTATAATTCAAAATTTTACACGTTTCTCTTTCGTCCCTATACTGTATATTTCGGATCTGTTTTGTGTCTCGGAGAGCCAAATTAATATTAGAATTTTGTAGATAGTCTGATTAAATCTTTTGAGGTCTATAAAACTTTTACATATGCACGGATTTACTGCATCGTTTTAGGGTATGTTCTGATGAATTGGTCGTGACTCAATGGTGGATACTGCCCATGGTACCCATGTACGGCTGTTTTCTGCAGGTTGTGGTCAATAGTTGCGCTAAACCAAGTCACTATTTTCAGTGCAGTGTAGAACTAATGGAAGGTAACGACGTCAGTTTCAGTAGGCTGTGGGTTCAATGGAATAAACGAAAGAGTGCTCTTTTGTCCAATGCAATATTGTCCTTCTCTCTTGGTAACCTGCCTCATTATTATCGCTCACTATATGGCGCGTCTTACCAGTATTACCCAAAACACAACTGTCATCGTATAAAGTTGATCGCTGTCGATTTCCTCTGAACAATCATTTGGTTGTTCGATATTTGAATACTGGTTAGATGATTGATGATCGGAAGAGTAGGTAGATGAGTTATACGATGAGGCTTGGGAAGACTGCATCGGGGACGTCGCTGGTGACGTTTTTGTAGGATTTGATACCTGAACTAGTATTGAACTCATGTTAGCTTCATTTGGAGATACCGGTGATGGTAGTGCTGATAGTATTTATAATGGAGATGAAGGTGCCGATTGCATTAATACTTGTGATGACGCTGATGATGAAATAGTCGGAGGTGTAATACCGTATAGCGGGTTAATTTCGCGATTTAGGGGCAACAAAGTATACGAACAATTTTGGCGGTTTTTATTTTGGTGGATTCTCAAATCCCAATTAAATATTTTGACGGATACTGAAATTGTTGCAATTAAAAAGTTGTAATACTTGACAAACAAGTGTCTATTGTTATGGTAAAATGATTTGTTTTTACCTAAATGACGTCTTATTTATTGATTATATATTCTGATACAGTTAATAAATAGAATACCGATGACTTAGATATTTGTTACAGGTATTCAAACGTCTTGTAAATTTTACGGTTGATTAGTTACGAAATGGACCGGACCTTTGATTGATTGATTGTTGGTTGCTTAACGTCCAGTGGCAAATATTTCATGCATATTCAGGACGAGAACAAGTTCACAATAAATACAATATGTAGGTTCTGTAATAGATTGAGGGATTATGGTCGGAGAAATTTAGACTGCCACGGGAAATGAGGGTATATTGGATAGGGACAGAAATTTAGCCTTGCAACAGGTCACCTACGGACCCCTCAAAGAGTTGTTGCAAGGGTTCTTAACGTGCAAAGAGCGTGGCACTCTCTTTACACGAGGCATCGGATTTAACGTCCCCATTCTGACCGGACGTGGCTGCAAATTTGTACATCCCGCACAGCCAAACGGACGCCCCACTTTAGCACGGGTTTTACTGCCGGTCGGAGGAAGACCAATGGTGACCATACTTCTATTCCCCAGTCACCCTTGGGGGTGACCGGACCTTTGATGTACTTACTAATTAGGTTACAAATTATCATAAGTGTTTACAACTCTTGTATAGTTTGACACTAATTAATAAGAGTAATTATCTGATCAGAGTACCTTACACTTTTATTCTAATTGACACTTATTAATAAGGGTATACACACCTGACAGTCATTTTATAAAATACATGTATGTACAATGCCCTTTTGGCGTTTATGTTGTTAAAACTAACATATACCGCTATTGACTTGCCGACCGGGAAAAACAGATCGTTCACAAAACGCTTTAGCTATTAGAAAGTACCCAACGTATGCATAAATTTATTTTCGCGATTTTCGTTTATCCGCCAAAATAAGCGAAAATAAACACCCCGCGAAAATAACCCGCTATACGGTACCACCATTGTTTACCCCTATTAGTCTTTGTTAAATTTGCTCTTTTCAAAAAATTGTGCAGAATTTATCTTTGTTTAAAATAAAGAAATACTTTGCATGAGTAAAGTTTTATCCTGTCCAGTACTACATAAAAATATTCACATAAAATTTCATTGCATTTAAGATATTAACCATCACTTGAAGTTAACCAATCAAATTGTCACCTCTTTTTTTTTCTATGTAAAAGCTTTAGTAACCATGTAACCTCAAGTTTCCGAAATATTCTATATTAACACCTAATTAAAAAAGAATGGTGCTTTGAAACACCCAAGATATATGTTTATGAATCAGAATGTTTTTACACTTTTAATTTCCTACAACTATCAAATTGAAGGGAATATTTTTTTTCGACCCTTGTTCGTATGCAACCGGATGTGACGTAATATGATTTGGTGGTATTACACCTTTCCGAGGATTGGACTGGAGGCACGTATATCGGCGACGGTGGAAGTGTGAATGTCACACTACCATTAGACGATGATGAGTTCTGACACGTAGGATTGGCTTGTGGTGACGAATTTTGCACCAATACGTTTGTAATGTTGAAGGTTGATGAAGGTACTGAAGATGACTGCGGTGAAGATGGAGAACGTCTCAGGTGGAGAGATTGTTGCTGTTGAAGGCTTTTTTTTTTGTTAGTTTCAAAACATGAATTAATTTCCTATTCAAACTTGAAACATACTTGTTCTAATATACTAAGTAATTTCTGGTCATATTGGCGTGAAAAAGCCAGAAAACCAGTCGACATATAGCGGGTTGCAATTGGCAAATACAACAATTTCTCTCTTTATCTAAGTTGCAGACAATTTAGTCACTGTACTTAACAAATGAATGTCAACATAAAAACTACAAACTGAGTGACTAGCATTCATACACGAAACATACAGATATGGAATGACCAGCATTCACAATTATAGGTACTTAGGGTGCGATACCGTCTTTCCCCAAACAACACATAATGACTAGCATTCACAATTATAGGTACTTAGAGTGCAATACCGTCTTTCCCCAAACAACACATAATGACTAGCATTCACAATTATAGGTACTTAGAGTGCAATACCGTCTTTCCCCAAACAACACATAATGACTAGCATTCACAATTATAGGTACTTAGAGTGCAATACCGTCTTTCCCCAAACAACACAGAATGACTAGCATTCACAATTATAGGTACTTAGGGTGCAATACCGTCTTTCCCCAAACAACACATAATGACTAGCATTCACAATTATAAGTACTTAGGGTGCAATACCGTCTTTCCCCAAACAAAACAGAATGACTAGCATTCACAATTATAGGTACTTAGAGTGCAATACCGTCTTTCCCCAAACAACACATAATGACTAGCATTCACAATTATAAGTACTTAGGGTGCAATACCGTCTTTCCCCAAACAAAACAGAATGACTAGCATTCACAATTATAAGTACTTAGGGTGCAATACCGTCTTTCCCCAAACAAAACAGAATGACTAGCATTCACAATTATAGGTATTTATGGTGCAATACCGTCTTTCCCCAAACAACACAGAATGACTAGCATTCACAATTATAGATACTTAGGGTGCAATACCGTCTTTCCCCAAACAAAACAGAATGACTAGCATTCACAATTATAAGTACTTAGGGTGCAATACCGTCTTTCCCCAAACAACACAGAATGACTAGCATTCACAATTATAGGTACTTAGAGTGCAATACCGTCTTTCCCCAAACAACACAGAATGACTAGCATTCACAATTATAAGTACTTAGGGTGCAATACCGTCTTTCCCCAAACAACACAGAATGACTAGCATTCACAATTATAGGTACTTATGGTGCAATACCGTCTTTCCCCCAAACAAAACAAAATGACTAGCATTCACAATTACAGGTACTTAGGGTGCAATACCGTCTTTCCCCAAACAACACATAATGACTAGCATTCACAATTATAGGTACTTAGAGTGCAATACCGTCTTTCCCCAAACAACACAGAATGACTAGCATTCACAATTATAGGTACTTAGGGTGCAATACCGTCTTTCCCCAAACAACACACAATGACTAGCATTCACAATTCTAGGTACTTAGGGTGCAATACCGTCTTTCCCCAAACAACACAGAATGACCAGCATTCACAATTATAGGTACTTAGGGTGCAATACCGTCTTTCCCCAAACAACACAGAATGACTAGCATTCACAATTCTAGGTACTTAGGGTGCAATACCGTCTTTCCCCAAACAACACAGAATGACTAGCATTCACAATTATAGATACTTGGGGTGCAATACCGTCTTTCCCCAAACAACACAGAATGACTAGCATTCACAATTCTAGGTACTTAGGGTGCAATACCGTCTTTCCCCAAACAACACAGAATGACTAGCATTCACAATTATATGTACTTAGGGTGCAATACCGTCTTTCCCCAAACAACACAGAATGACTAGCATTCACAATTATAGGTACTTAGGGTGCAATACCGTCTTTCCCCAAACAACACATAATGACTAGCATTCACAATTATAGGTACTTAGGGTGCAATACCGTCTTTCCCCAAACAACACATAATGACTAGCATTCACAATTATAGATACTTAGGGTGCAATACCGTCTTTCCCCAAACAACACAGAATGACTACCATTCACAATTATAGGTACTTAGGGTGCAATACCGTCTTTCCCCAAACAACACAGAATGACTAGCATTCACAATTATAGGTACTTAAGGTGCAATACCGTCTTTCCCCAAACAAAACAGAATGACTAGCATTCACAATTATAGGTACTTAGAGTGCAATACCGTCTTTCCCCAAACAACACATAATGACTAGCATTCACAATTATATGTACTTAGGGTGCAATACCGTCTTTCCCCAAACAATACAGAATGACTAGCATTCACAATTATAGATACTTAGGGTGCAATACCGTCTTTCCCCAAACAAAACAGAATGACTAGCATTCACAATTATAAGTACTTAGGGTGCAATACCGTCTTTCCCCAAACAACACAGAATGACTAGCATTCACAATTACAGGTACTTAGGGTGCAATACCGTCTTTCCCCAAACAACACATAATGACTAGCATTCACAATTATAGGTACTTAGAGTGCAATACCGTCTTTCCCCAAACAACACAGAATGACTAGCATTAACAATTATAGGTACTTAGGGTGCAATACCGTCTTTCCCCCAAACAACACATAATGACTAGCATTCACAATTATAGGTACTTAGAGTGCAATACCGTCTTTCCCCAAACAACACAGAATGACTAGCATTCACAATTATAGGTACTTAGGGTGCAATACCGTCTTTCCCCCAAACAACAACAAAATGACTAGCATTCACAATTACTGGTACTTAGGGTGCAATACCGTCTTTCCCCAAACAACACATAATGACTAGCATTCACAATTACAGGTACTTAGGGTGCAATACCGTCTTTCCCCAAACAACACAGAATGACCAGCATTCACAATTATAGGTACTTAGGGTGCAATACCGTCTTTCCCCAAACAACACAGAATGACTAGCATTCACAATTCTAGGTACTTAGGGTGCAATACCGTCTTTCCCCAAACAACACAGAATGACTAGCATTCACAATTATAGATACTTGGGGTGCAATACCGTCTTTCCCCAAACAACACAGAATGACTAGCATTCACAATTATAAGTACTTAGGGTGCAATACCGTCTTTCCCCAAACAACACAGAATGACTAGCATTCACAATTATATGTACTTAGGGTGCAATACCGTCTTTCCCCAAACAACACAGAATGACTAGCATTCACAATTATAGGTACTTAAAGTGCAATACCGTCTTTCCCCAAACAACACAGAATGACTAGCATTCACAATTATAGGTACTTAGGGTGCAATACCGTCTTTCCCCCAAACAACACATAATGACTAGCATTCACAATTATAGGTACTTAGAGTGCAATACCGTCTTTCCCCAAACAACACAGAATGACTAGCATTCACAATTATAGGTACTTAGGGTGCAATACCGTCTTTCCCCCAAACAACAACAAAATGACTAGCATTCACAATTACTGGTACTTAGGGTGCAATACCGTCTTTCCCCAAACAACACATAATGACTAGCATTCACAATTACAGGTACTTAGGGTGCAATACCGTCTTTCCCCAAACAACACAGAATGACCAGCATTCACAATTATAGGTACTTAGGGTGCAATACCGTCTTTCCCCAAACAACACAGAATGACTAGCATTCACAATTCTAGGTACTTAGGGTGCAATACCGTCTTTCCCCAAACAACACAGAATGACTAGCATTCACAATTCTAGGTACTTAGGGTGCAATACCGTCTTTCCCCAAACAACACAGAATGACTAGCATTCACAATTATAGGTACTTAGGGTGCAATACCGTCTTTCCCCAAACAACACAGAATGACTAGCATTCACAATTCTAGGTACTTAGGGTGCAATACCGTCTTTCCCCAAACAACACAGAATGACTAGCATTCACAATTATATGTACTTAGGGTGCAATACCGTCTTTCCCCAAACAACACATAATGACTAGCATTCACAATTATATGTACTTAGGGTGCAATACCGTCTTTCCCCAAACAACACATAATGACTAGCATTCACAATTATATGTACTTAGGGTGCAATACCGTCTTTCCCCAAACAACACAGAATGACTAGCATTCACAATTATAGGTACTTAGGGTGCAATACCGTCTTTCCCGTAACCATTATAACCAGACTTTTTCAACAACGAGCACCTATAAAGAGCACCACAGATTAAACCATCAACCTTTACGTCCTTTTTGTTCCAGGGAATTTGACTGGCTATACATGCGTATTGGAGGTGGTCACTTTGAAATGAATGCTATGAAAGCATTCTTTGAACTAAACTGGACACCCTTTTTAGAATAATTATGTGAGCTCATGGGGTTTAAAACAGAAAATGCAAAACATTTTGCAAAAATTTGCAAAGACCATCATGTAGCTTGGCAACTTCTTCTTACTTTCCACTCTTCCTCTCTGAAGGAGATGGTGATACCATTTATCAGAAGCTTGAAAGAAACGAACCAAAAGCCACTGTAGAAAATTACTTCCACTTTTATAAAGAATTTTTGGCACACAACTCTAACCATGCATTCCTCCATTTGCAAATATGCAGATTTTCCCAAGCTATTATTAACTTCGGAATGGGTATGAGACGTAACAATGCTGAACTTGTAAAACGCGCAAAATATCGTCTCAAAGAATTATTCTATGGACGCTTTCATCCACACTATCAAAACATTGAACTTTTTGACTGTATTCAGTATAAATTCATGCCTGATGAAGTAAAGAAAGTTTGGGATGATACCATTTCTTTCACAGTTAGTGGAGATCCATCAAAAGGGCAGGACCTTGATTTTGTTTTGGAGGAAAAGAATAAAGCAGTTAAACAATATCTACCAAGTGGAACTGTGCCATCAGACGGAACCTGGAAATCAATTTGTTGTAACATTACTTTCTTTGAGTCTTTGCAAGATAAATTAACAGACATCCTTGGTTTATCAAAACAGTCAGAATATGGAACAAAAATAATTGATATCAACAATCACCTCCTACCGACCAGATTTAAGGAAACATCTGTCTACAATAAATGACGAACACACTTCTGTTTGTGGAAAGAAACTTCATTCAGAACTAAACACCTTTCTGGAACAGTCAACACAGAGAAGATAGATTCTTGTATTCTTGGTATCCCAACAGATAAACCGACATGTGGGCCAGTCTTTATCAAACCAGATGAGGGAAAAAAATTGAGAAGAAAATGACAAAGGCTGAATTAAGAGACTCAATCAAAACAATGATCGGAAAGCTTTTTCGTAATGTTGAACTTCAGACTCATTATTCTGCAATTTTAGACAGTATGAATGATAGTACACAGACAAATAAGGATACCTATCTCAATCTTTACTTCGAATTACAAGATGTAACTGACAATATTCAAACTGAACTTGATAGCTTTGAAAATGAATGATATAAATTATAAACCAGCTAATACACATGGTTACTAGTAATTTGCATAATTATATATTTAGATTAAGGTCTTTTGTTAGGAATATTGTTGTTTTTGATTGATTGATTGATTGATTGTTGGTTGCTTAACGTCCAGTGGCAAATATTTCATGCATATTCAGGACGAGAACAAGTTCACAATAAATACTATAGGTAGGTTCTGTAATAGATTAAGGGATTAAGGACGGAGAAATTTAGACTGCCACGGGAAATGAGGGTATATTGGATAGGGACAGAAATTTAGCCTTGCAACAGGTCACCTACAGACCCCTCAAAGAGTTGTTGCAAGGGTTCTTAACGTGCACAGAGCGTGGCATCGGATTTAACGTCCCCATTCTGACCGGACGTGGCTGCAAATTTGTACATCCCGCACAGCCAAACGGACGCCCCACTTCAGCACGGGTTTTACTGCCGGTCGGAGGAAGACCAATGGTGACCATACTTCTATTCCCCAGTCACCCTTGGGGGGTTGTTGATTTAGTCAGATTTTCTGAATCTTCTGGTTTTATATCTTTGAAAAAAAATGTTGGTTTTTTTCTTTTAATAAAACTTCTTTATTGATAAAACTAAAAAAAAAAAAAAACAAGAGAAAATACTTTTCCGACCGTATTGTAATGTCTTTGTCTTTAGAAACAAGCTCACAGATCTGTAGTTTTGTTTTATTCTTTAACGTCCATTCATAATCTACTTTCAATGTTAACTTATTAACTATATAAGTGTAATTTAAGCTTGTTATTTTGAATTTCAGAGCGGATAACATCCTTAATAAAAAATTTATAGTATTATGTAATTGGGAGCATTTAAACGCAAAGAATTTATATCGTTGAAATTTGCTAGTTAATCTACTTATTTCTCAGTTAATATATTTGTTTGAGAACATATGCCTCTAAAACAGTTTATACCTAATTATAAATAAAAGTAAAAATTTATGCATTTCATATTTATGTCTTATTTGTTTTACGTTTTTTTACTAAATATTACCAAACAGAAAAAAATCATTCTCTCAGATGTAATTTTATATCAGTTTTACAAACTGTTGAATGTTAAAAAGGTGCAAATGTAAGAATAATCAGGCATCCTTAAATAGCAAATCTAATTGGGACTACCACATATGATAATTTACAAACAGATAATTCATTTCCACTTTTGTTACTTTTATGTTTACCATTATCTAGCAAGTGACACAGTTTACATATTTGTTGTTTTTTTTTCCATTTATTTTATTAACTTGTTTATTTTATATTAACCTCAAACAATTATGTCATGTCAGATATGAACAGCTTTAATGAACTGTTACCTTAGAAAAATCTTGCAAATTTTTTCCAAAACTTGGGACACAATCTATTTCAACTCCTCATGATAAAGTCATTTACAAGGTTAATAGTTTAGTCAGATATTAGAAATGGTATATTAACATCTGCTAGGTTTGAAGATAATTATAATATTATCGGAAAGATTACTTTTGAACAAATGCCTCCATGATAACTCTGTATATTTGTACTCTCTAGAAAAAAATGTTTAATCTGCAGATTTGAATATTTGAGGGATGAGTCATTAATTTTCTATGTCACATGTCCATGGCCATTTACTTAAATAATTTAAGAATCCCAAAACAAACTGAGTATTTTTATTTCATGTATTTACTAAAGTTTTGCAAAAATATAAAATTGAGAATGGAAATGGGGAATGTGTCAAAGAGACAACAACCCGACCATAGAACAGACAACAGCATGTATGTTTTGTTAAAACTACCATTTAATGTTCAGTTGCAGTACAAAATGCATAAAATATGTATATCATGCTATAACAACACATTTATTAATAAATATCTAGATAAAGATAAATGCTTATAATTTTACTATGCCAGTCACACTTTTTGTCGATACAAGACTCATCAGAGAGGCTTCAAATTAAAACAATTGTATACGTAAGGACAAAAAGTGTACAACGTTGAAAAGCTACTTGAGGACCAAAATCCCCAAAAGGGTTTCTCAATACAGCTAAGGTAATCAGTGCCCTAGGTAGACAAATTCTTAGTATTTATATAACTGATTAATCTTATTTTTTGGGTATTCGTTTGAATCTTGAAAAGGATTTACATCTTTTTTATTTTTCAATAGGGAAAACAATGATAACAGCATATCAACACCTAAGCTGATGCCAGGACAAAATAAGGAATACAGAACTTCAGATGAGGCATTTAATGCCTTAAGGTCCAATGAAAGAAGAATCAAATCTATGGCTATCAAGCAGATAGTTAAGAACATCAGAAAGTTAGCTGATCTTCAAACAATTGATCCCTCCCTTATATTTTGTGTAAGGGATGAGGTGCAGAAGAGGCAACTCATAAAATATTGTGGCCATGGAGAATTTCTCCACAGATAAATAAATGTTGAGCCTGTGCTTAAACAGGAGGAATTCGTCAAATCAACAAGTTATGAGGAACGCCTTCCAAAAGTACAGGCTCAACCTATAAAGTTTGTGACACCATCCAAATTGTCATGTGGGCCTGGTGTGTCAAAAAACTTGGCACACCAACAGAAACAACAACTGGAGGATACTGAAGTCATTCCAGTTGAAAATGAGACGTCATTAACATTAGGTAAATCAAGAATTTATATGTTTAAAATAAATCAAAACTTTAATTTCATTATGATTAAGTTAATGATCTTGGAATTTTCAGAAATGATTTAATCAAAATTATAAGATAAATAAAAAAGGATAACTAGCTAAGGAACCGAGGTCAAATTGTAATTTTTTTTTGAAAAAATAATCATCTACTGAATTAATCTCATAGACAGTGTGTGATAGCACCACATGATTTATTGATCAACATAATGCCCCTTATCAGATTTTATTGGAATCATGTGAACTACCTATTCTAACACATATATTTCACTTTAATTGAAAAATTTGTTAATAGATGTTTTCATCCTTACTGACTGTGTGTATACTATAAAATCATTTTATTTCACAGAAATAAATTCTCCTAAACAAAAGCAGAAAAAACAGAAAAGCCAACCTGCAAAAAGAAAACTGATAAATGGTAACTGTAATTACTACTTTTCACCTAAAAATTGTCGTATATTTTTGAAAATAATGAAAAAAAATAGTTAAGGTATCCATATTTATAGAAAAACCAGAAAAGAGGATGAAGTATAAATTCCAACAATACAACTTTCCACCTAATGACAAGAGGACAGTAATTTAAATAGCTATCGGATAATGTATAGAAAAAAGAATGAAAACAGGGACTGTCAAAAGTAAAAAAAAAAACCAGAAAAACTGCCCAAGGACACCACTGAAGAGGCCGGATAGAGATGGCCCCGAAACATGCATGTATAATAGTTCAGGAAAATGATCATCACCTCAGCAT